AAACACATGGCTTCACTCGTCCCAATACTTTTCGTTTTTATTTTGTCGTGTGCTCGTCCCAAACGCCCCTTCATTGTGGACAACAAACACAAGATGAACTCTTCCGCGAGTTAGACAAAACTCTTTATTGTGTTTGAGTGAAAGTAAATTACTTCGCAAAGGTGCCTACATACCTCTTTTGCAAAATATTCATCAGGCTAGCTAATTTTTGAAAGGTAATCTTGCCAGAGAGCTCTCAAACAACTGTACATTCATTTCTCTTTTCCCAATTGTTTAAATTATAAATACACAAAAATATGTTTCTAACCTATTTATAAATGGCCGCACAGGCATGCAATTAAGNTAAAATTTTGTTATTTCAGGACGATCTTGGCTTACAGCTTGTCAGCAATAAAAGAAGGTCAAAAAGCTACATCAGTGAAAATAAGATCAGCTAAACGTACTCAATTCGACACAGCTAAGTATATTAAATAACCTTTCCGGCAGATGTGGTTTATTGAGGTAGAACGGGCATTGAAAAAGAATACATATGTATTGGTCTTTCCCGTCCACATTCGAAGAAAACCTCTTTCATACCAGAACAGAAACGTTTTTTCGTTTTTTAAAACAAATTGGAGAAAACTGGGAGAGGTATTGACCTATGAAAAGAAAAGAGGGGGTCGCCGACCTTTTAAGAGCGTAAACGGTGACGTTGCGACATGAATTAAGAGCGCAGTTAGGATGCGCAGTAGCAATGAGCGCGTACATTCTTAAATATATAATCCGAGCAAGAACCACTTACATCCGGGTTGCCGACGGAAGAAATGAGGCTTCCCTGGGTGGCGTGCTCCCTGCACGGTAATGGTTCCCAAAATAATCAACAACAGACACAAATGAAACTTGGCAGCCATAATCTTCCTGCAACCAAAAAGCAGCCGTATTCTTATCAAATATTCAAAAACCGCTGAAATATGTTTAGTCGTATACTTCTGACGTCTCAAAAAGTCACTGGGTTCCTTTTTTGGGATCAAATGTATTGCTGGGATTAGTTTGGCTTAGGAGAGGAAAACATGAATGAAATTTATTATTTCACTCAGTTTCCATTTCTTAAGCAAACGTGAGCTGTGAAGCGGCGAAAACGAGTTGCTACTCGCTCTAAGTATCTCTGAGAACAAAGAAAGAAAACTTCTAGGACCGGAGAACATATTTTAAAAACTAATTTCAGCCGTTCAAAGATTTTGTTCAAAATGAAATGAAGATTTAGCGAGCAGCTATATATATGCTATATCAAATTGCTCTTCTTACATAAAAAGATGAGTTTTTCTAACTACGTAAAAAAGTGACTGGAATATTCTTTTCAGTTGTTGTTGTTGTTTTTCTTTCTTTCAGTTATGAGGGTCTCCCAGGGGTTTTGGGGAACAAGGGAACATTGGCAAAATGTCGAAGGGAACAAGGGAACATTAGCCATTTTTTGGGAACAGGGGAACANGGGAACATGGGAACATAGGGCAATTTTGGAAGGGAACAAGGGAACAAAGACCCCCCCTGGGAGACCCTCAGTTATACGGACTCGCCTGATGTAATAAGTTCGCATAAAATCGTCGTCCTGCATTACTCTAGAGTGTTATCACCACCCAACAAGAAACGTTTCCAGTTACAGAGTTTTAAGATATTTAGTTTACCGGTAAATGGTCCGATTACCATCTAGCCATCTAAAATATTAACGACCTTAATGTTCTATGAAACGAAAGAAGGAAGGACTTTCAAAAAGAAACTATATTTCTTCCAGTTGCCTGGGCTAGGTGCATGGAATCATAGGCAAATATCGTGATAACACCTAGGTGCTAACAATGTTAAGTCTACAAACAACAAACCTTACAGCGTTAGAATCTTCTCTTTAGATATCTTCCCGTTAAAAGTTCAGTCTTCCGCGATAAGCGAAACCTTCCTAACAGCCTAGCTTTCTGTGTAGAACTGATCTTTATCTGCGACTTTGCCTCCTTTTAGGAAGTCCTAAACGTGAAACCAATTAGTTTGAGCTTGACAGCTGTCAATTGGAAAAACAGTTTTATTGAAGGTCATTTCACAACTGCTAGGACTTGCGTGCACCTGTTAAGGTTGGAAAGAGCGCATGCCCAACTGCATTTGTCTAGGGTAGACCTGAAACATTTACCGCTTAAAGAAACATTTTGGCTGAGCGAGAAAAACTGGAAATTCGTCATGATAATAGACGTTTTGAGAAACGTAAGACCAACCAGATATAGTGTCCTGACTAACAAACGTTTTCGCGTTCCCAAAGTCAAGTTCAAGGCTAATGTTGAGCACAAAAATTACGATCAAAAACCGAGATGGCGAGTTTGTCATGTGTTACTAGGGGTATTAACTTTTCGGTGCTGACATTCTCTTAATTAAACACGAGACTTAAAATGGTTTCGAAATTGCGCTTAAATGTCGTCCATTGTTCAGTGGAAATAACCAGTTTTAACCTTACAATGGATTGATTGATTGACTGACTGACTGACTGTCTGACCGATCGATCGATTGATTGATAGATTGATAGATTGATTGAAATTGAAAACTGGCATGATCTGATTGGCCTTTGGGATACAACATCACGTGACAGTCAGTTCTGTTTCACCGCAGAATAACAACGTATCATCCACCGAGGTATTTAATTATCTTTATTTGCAGATTCTGACGTTAGAAATTGAGCTGTAATCCTGTGTGTTCGTCCAGTGTGTGTTCGTTCAGTGAATGTTTCCTACATGAAACAATAAGGTATCTAACTGGTTACCAAAAATAACCACTTTCCATATATTAGAATGGTTTGGTTCAAGGAAGCAAAGTACACTGGCATGAAATTAACCTTTCCTGATTTTTGCATCTTGTAACTATTCGCTCTGATGAATTTTGTACCCAATTTTTATAGCCATTTTTTTTTCATGAACCACCACGAAACCATTTCAATCTTCATAGTAAGTCAACTGCGTGCAATCTATGTTTCAATTAAGGTTTTCGGCTCACATACATGCAATCTTGTGTTCTACAAAAACCCTCAAATGGTTGTCAATAACAGCTTAAATTAAAATTTTCGTGTATCGAAGACATTGTAACAACAGGTTATGTGTCACATTAGAAGAAGCAGTGTTTGCACAGTAAATTAGTTTTTCTGAGAGCAAAGGCACGTTTTGATAAAATGCCGCAAGGTAATTACGCACAGGCACTAATTTTCGGACCTTTTAACGTAAAACGTGGGGCTAGGATGGCATACGTAAAGGAAAAAAAGCAGGGTTTACATGCCTCTTACTAACCGAGTTCGAGGGGTTTTTTTCCCCTTCGATTTCCGTAAATTAAATTATAAATCGATGGGGAAAAAACGAGGATCCGTAACTTACAGTACGGACCCAGAAGACGAGGTTAGTACTCTGAGATATTTATTATATCTCTACTGTATGTCTGACGGGTTCGGGAAGGAGTTCTATTGACGAGGAACGGCTTCAGATTTTTGAAGCACGTCGAAAGCAAAGCAAGTCAATTTAAAATCGTTGTTAAGTCGTTAGCACGTTTTAATACACAATTTAAAGTAAAAGAGAGTTTTAAACTTGTACTTGCCTTTAAAGTTAAGAACACTTGGTAATAAATCACGAAACTTTTTGGCAACAAAAAAAGCTATAAATTTTAGCGGGCCGTTAAATTGACCAATCACAGCGAGCGTAGTAACTGAGAGATATAATAATAATCTTGGCATTTTCTAATATGTCGATGTAAAGGAAAACTTTGAACGGAAGAGAACGCTGAAAACCCGAATATAGATACATTTGCAAGTCTCCTTTCTTGTCTTTCGTGACCCATCGTGGATCAGATAGCGGCAAAGTTGTGTCATAACCTGCATTTCCTTGTCATTTACAGTACTACATGAACACCAGCACGGTTTAAAATTAACTGATGTTGATTCGCTAACCTCTGACGCATTTCCTCGAACAAGACTGACAAGAAGAAGAGACATACTGTATCTCGTTTGCACACCAATGATGGAAGAATAAATATAACAGGCTTAAGTCCAACTGCTCTACTTGGTGATTTTCGTAAACCGGAAAAACAGTTCATGTTTTCAAAACCAAGGAGGAACACTTCAAGAAAGTCCACATTGTGAACGCCTTTCAATCTGCTAAGCGTCACGCCTTACTAAAATCAACAATATAAACAAACTGTTTGAAACATACTCAAAATGAATTTACGATAGGCTTCGATCATGATCAATTTGCAGTTTGTTTTACGTGACAGCAAAAAACGACGAGGGAACTAAGGATACTCAGTTTTTGTTTTAGAGTGACGTTTAAAACGAAATTCTCGCGGGAAAATTCAGCCAACTTATCGGGAGAGGATTGGCGGGTATAAAGTGTTTACACGTTGACAACGATATAATATCTTAAATATTCTATCCTGCAGTCCAAGAATCGATTTTAAGCGGATATTTCAGTGAATCGTAGAGAGGAGAAACAGAAAATGCTGTCGCCAAATGAAATTGGCTGGAAATGTTCCTACTGAACTGAAGATTCTAATTGGACTTCCCGAGATTATTTACACCGATTTTTTCTTGCACATTCCAATTTTAACTCAACTAGATATTGACGAAATAATGAAATTCCTTGGTGGAAATGTGTCAATCTTATCCACGAAATTGATCATTTCAAAAAAACCCCCTTAATTGTCACTATTGCAACGGAAAACGCCTGTTTTTCAAAGGTCAGTTTCATACCAGTGTACTTTGCTTAGGTAACCAGTTAGTGATGCCTTATTGTTCCATGTTGGGAACATTTAATGATTTTGCATTGAGCAAACACACAATCTTACAACTCACTTTCATGTCTTTCTCACAATCGGGGGGTGGGGGCGCAGATGGCCCCTGTGCACAGAAATAGTTTGGGCGCGCATGCAAATGTTGTAACACAAAAACGTGAGCTTAAAAGCAAACATCTCGTCCCTCTGAGATCTGCTCCCTCTGATCACTTAGTCAAAACTCTATTAAGTCTCTTTATTTACTAAAATAGAACTATTGTCTTATTTATTTCTTGTTGTAATTACATGACTCAAACCACGTTGTGGTACAAGATGCTTACAAAATTTTCTAACATCTCTCTTATTACATACACGTAAGGTATACGTCGTTCATTTTTCCTTTATAGCCAATCAGATGAAAAGTAAGAGGTCACGGGCAAACGATCGCAAATTTCAACGCTTGTGACACGGATTATTTTTTTCTTAAATTGCATTCAATACTTTTTAACACCATTTTCTATTAATGACAGTTATATGTTCTCTCGCACTTGCAATTGGTTACACGGTTTCTAGTTATACACGGTTACAAGTTTAACACAGTGGAACCCCGCTTTGGGGTCACCTCGTTATAAATACGGTCACCTCAGTCTTAATTACGGCCAGTCTTTTTTGTCCCGGCTTAACGCCTATACATTTTCTTATAAGAAAACCGCGTTAATACTGCCAAAGACCACATTCTGAAATCCCAACTCCGTTAATACGGCCACTCGAACTAGTTATGGGCATCTTTCCAAAGTTGTATGTACTGATTGAAGTTTCATCTTTTTAAAAAATTACACCAGGATTTCGAATGCTTATTACAGAGCGGTTGTTTAGAAGTGCAATTTTGGTGTCTGTCAAGACGCCACATAAAAGAGACCAGTCATGAAATTTGACCCTATCCCGTTAATACGGACGAATTTTCATGGCCCGTTGGTGACCGTGTTAACGAGGTTCCACTGTGTTAGCCACCAGTCAGATTTTTCCCGCGCTTGGACATGTTCAGCCGCGCTCACCACCAGTCACACCCCAGCTCCCCCCTCCCCCCTCCAACATCAGCATACGTTACTTGCAAGCAACATTTCGGACACAAAGTGTCCGAAATTTCAAACGTCCGAAATATTTACAGCGCAAGATGAAATTTTTAAGTAGCTACCAAACTCTTAGTTTACTTCATGAAGTGAACTCTAATTGAGACACTGCTTGAGATTCGTAACAGTTTGATACAATGCATGTTATTTTCTCGCGGGTCAATCTGTAAAACTAATAGGATGCAGTAAAACTATCATTTTCACAGATGTTGTTTCAGTCTAATTCGTGTTTTGTTGGCGCAAATTTACTATAGGTACGTTTTAACAAAGTGTCCGAATTGTTTCTTCGAAATGAGGTAAAGTGTCGGAAAATTAAACGCCCGAAATAAGAGGTCCGAAATTTTAACGTACGAATTTTTTTGCAATGTGTACTCTTGTGCTTGCTGTCGCCAGTTCCACGTTTTCCTTCGAGTTATGCTTAGCCTCACGTGGAAGACGTTTCAGGAGTTCATTTTCACACAACAAACAGTTCACAGCTTTAAGTAAACAAGTTAAAGAATTTGAGAGAACTTGAAAGCGTGTGTGGCTCAGAGTACTTCCAATTCTCCATAAATGCACCAGGCAATTCTACATAGTAGCATTTGCTCATTGGATGGAAAAACATTCTCAAACAAGTTATGTAAGTATCAAAAATTTTGAAAAAATGGCATGAAATATTCTCAAACCAAATTAATAAAGTAATCTTATGATTTAGTTTCTAGGACTTTTTCTGTGCTTGCCATCTAACTAATTTCTTATTTTTCTAGCGTGTTTTAATAGCATAAAGATTCGCTCTGGGAGTACTCTTATAGTATATCTAGATATCAGATTGAATAAAACTACTTCACGAAATTCTTGTTTTTGTTTCTTGTGGGTTTCTTAATGTTGCTAAACAATCACAGTAAAATCAGGTTATTTCATTCCAGATTTCTTTTTAGTAATTTTACTTCATGTATACCTAAAGTTATTTTAGGGATTATATGCATGAAGTTTTACTTAATTTTCAGATAAATATATTCATAATTCTTTTAGTCAAAAAGGAAAGTTGGGGGATGCAGATGATTGCGGTAGAAATGCATTGTAAGGGCTCGAAAAAAGTGCCGTCCCATTGTCACGGACAAGTAGATTTTCCTTCTGGGAGAGTAACTTTTCATTCTCACCTGCCCGATGGGCAAGGGATCAAGCAAGTCGTCTGCCAACTAACTCATTAAAAAAGCAAACTTAGACTTGCCTGGGGCAAGTAAAATTTGAGAGCTGCCTGTCCCAAGGGCAAGCTGGAAATCAAGTTTTTTTCGAGCCCTGGTTCACTGCTTATTAGTTATTCTATATTATGTTGATTCAAAGAGAAACATTGATTAGGACAATGTGAATGATTAAGGCTTTGGCACAACAGCCACAACAATGATCACGATAATCAATAAAACAATAACCACCAGCATTCCTAAAAAGAAAATAAAAACGAACAATTAATGAACTATTAATTAGTTAATAATATATAGTTATACCAATTAATTACAGCCATCCGTCAAGTAATGTTGCCCAGGTTTAATAATTCACCTTTTAAGTGATTTCTCTCCCCTCCTCCTGATCTATATGAATGATTAGACAGGATTTTCTTGGCAGGTTTGAAACAGAGTTGAAAACATGACATGTTACAGGTTATTTCAAGGGAAACTTAACAGTGATAGAACACTAAGTCAACAAATTCTCTTTTTTAAGTGAAATAACGATTCAAAAACTACAAAAGGATGCATACCTGTAGTGGAACCCCGCTTTACGGTCACCCTGTTAATACCGCCACCTCGTTATTATGGCCACTTTATTCTGGCCCGAACAAGGGCTCAGTCAGTCATTTTCATTTAAAGAACCCGTTTAATACGGCCACCCCGTTAATACGGCCAGATTTTTGAGGCCTGTTGGTGACTGGATTAACAGGGTTCCACTGTATTTCTCTGACTTTGCTTTGGGAATTATTACGTTTGAGACTCACCACAGGTAGAAGATTTTGCTGTCACTCTTTTCACATGCGTTGTTTCCTTGATAAGACGCTGGTTGGTTTGATCCATTCGATTGTCTATGTCGTCGAGTATTTCTGTAGGTAAAGGTAACGGTAAAGGTAAGGTATGGTAAAGTCTGCATAGGGGCCAAGTGGCCCATCAAGCCGGAGGTTATCCCGGGTTCTGTATCAGAAAACGACTAGGAGTATTTCTACTCCCCCCTGGATGGGATGCTAGTCCATCCCAGGGTAACTCCCAGCATTAAATTTGCCGGTATCCATTTATACACCTGGGTGAAGAGGCATTGCGAGAGTAAAGTGTCTTGCCCAAGAGCACAGTGTAACGTCCCTGTCCACGGATCGAACTCGGGCTGCTCGATCCAGAGTCGAGCACACTTACCATGAGGCCACCGTGCCAATAAGAATCAGGCATCTTGTAATTTTGACCAATACTGAGATGCGGAAGGGGGAACAGCTATAAAAAGGATGGGGTGCTTGCTGTACCTTTTAGGGGTTAAAAAAGCTGTTTTGGAACCTCTTCGGGTGTTTAGCCTCAAAAAAGTACACAGCAGAAGCTTTCAGGATACCTTTTAGGGTATTGAGCCGAAAAAAAAAAAAAATAAAAAAAATAACAGGAGATATTTTACAAACAAGAAGAAGGTACTCGATTCAATCGTCTTTATCACTACTCAAAATTGTGAACGTGTCAGTTACTGTGTTGTTCTAGAATTGGTACCACTTAGGGGTGAAAAAAATCCAAGCCACACCCACAAAACGGGATCTTGGCACCTCTTAGATGTTAAACTTTCCAACGAGCACCTCCTGTTCTTTAGATATGGGAGTTCTCCTCCCCCAGGACTGAGATTCCCAGCAGGTCTTCAGACATTATACCCATGTTAACACATACAAAGCAACATGGAAACACCTCTGGGGAACAGAGGTGACACAGTGGTGAGAGAGCCCACCTCCCACCGACACCGCGGATATACGTTTTTTGGGGCGCGATACAGTATTTTGTTGGTCAGCGGTACACCCTAACAAAACTACAAAATGCCTGCAACTTTTACATTATCTTCGCAGCGAGCCTTATCGACAGTCAAAAAGATACAAAACTTAGAGCGCACACTGTAAACTTAGCTTTTAAACTCCGCTCATTTGTTGGATAGTTCTCAGTTAATATTATA